GGTTCGGAATCCAACCCACTGTTCTTCTTCCCCAGAGGGTCTTCACGGGTTTAGGGTTCGGCTTTGATTCTCTTCTAGGCCGAATCCCTCTTCTTTTGTTCTTTCCTTCACCCAGTTAGGGTTAGGGTTAGGGAACCCCTTCTGTCTGCTCAGATTCGAAAGGATCTAATTTATTCTTTCCTTTTCTAATCGTTTCTAGCCCCTGCCGAGATCTACCCCTAGCAAACCACGCTCTGGTACCATTGTTAAGACTTGTAGGATCGTCTAGGAGTAGATCCGGGGTGTTAAACATTTACTGGATGAATCAAAGACCTAGAACACGTTCTAGACAGAGAGACAGAGACAGAGAGAGGATAGAGGAAGAACGTGTCGAACCTGACACCGCAGGGGAGGATCCGCTCGCGTCCGCCATGAAGTCGGTGTCTGCGCTAGGGCAGCGACGGTAGGTGAAGACGGTGTCGATGACGAGCGGTGGCGACTGGCGGTGAATACTGTAGCAGCCATGGTACTGTAGCGCATTGCTTTTTCTTTCTCCAACTAGCAAAGGATATAACTCTCGATCCAAAATCTAATTGATGCAAATAAGTAGTCATTTTGAAAGCTCTCGACGAGCTCTACGCACCAGTGGTATCCGTTCATCCATCCAAGCAATGGATCAAATTTCAAATTTTTAGCCTTCCTTCAAAGCTGGTCAACCTTCGCTAAAAAAGCACTTATCCATATTTAAATTCATATTTATGGCATTGATTCTTGTGGTATTACATAAACACCCCCACGTATGTCCTGTACCCACACCCGGTTGTCTAATGCCTTCTCAACCATGCGAGTTTTTAGGATCCTTAATGGCACACAAGCAGCAACCTCCGAGGCTATGTCTACTAGGGAGCAGCCATGTAACCAACGGTCTATCCAAAATAAGGTATTTCTTCCATTGCCCACATTTGTTATCACCGAGATTGCAAACATTCCTCGGGCATGTGGATGGGAAGGGATTCCCAGACCTGACCATGCTCTATCTGTTGAATTTTTTTTGCCACCACAACCACTTCCATTTGTAGAGCCCACCCCATAATTTCCAAGTTTTGGATACCCAAGCCACCGAGTTCCAAAGACCTTTGCACTTTCTCCCATCCCACCAAACATCAGCCCCTATTGGCCTCTTTGTGACCTCGCCAAAGAAAACCTCGTCTTATCTTGTCTATTGCCTTTACCAGCCATTTTGGCAAATTTATCGCAATTAGTAAATAAACAGGGATGGCTGATAGAACAAACTTTACCAAAGCCGCTGGACCAGCTTTGCTCAGATTCTGTGAACAACCCAGAGTATTTCTTCCACCTTATCTGTTACCACAATGTATCCACCTCATTTTCCACATTCTCCATAGTAGCCTAGAAGAACAAAGAGTAGGTTTTACCTTCAAGAAGTTAAACAAAAAAGAACTACTGAGCATAGAACACAACACACTATAAACATTCTTTAGTCGTGAGTGCATCATGGTAGCTTACCTGGCACTAAAAAATTGCACCTGGAAAACAAAATGAGACTCCCTCCATGTATCCAACACCAAATTAGGAAGTGTCGGTGAACAATGAGATGTTCCTATCCAATAAGAAACAAGAAAAGGTCCCCCCACCTGGATAATATTTAAAAGTGTTAGGTGGTGCGGAGGCCTCTTTTACCAAGATGATCTGGAGCAGGTAACCCACCCATGACCCATGTCATGAGCAATGTAGTTCGTGACATGCTTTACTGCATCCATAGATGGACAGGGTTGTGCCAAGCTGAAATAATTCACAAAACAATTACTCTTCAGATAAAAGTTTTTGTTTAGAAGTCCTTGGCATATATCATTGGCTTGAGGAATTCAGGGGATAGATAAATTATTTGGCTGTGATCCTGAGAGAGAAAAGGCTTACCCCGTCGTAAATATTCGCCAGACTGAAGGTCCACCTATACGATCATTTTTGTGAGATACAAATGCCTGATTAAATAAAAGAAAACATGTATTGTCAGACGTGGACTAGAGGCCTGAAAAGTTTCAGGTTCAGCAGCATGAATCTGAATCTGAATTAAAGAAAACATGATTCACATGTTTCTGAATAGAAAAAAAAAAGTCATACAGAAGGCATAATTCACATCAAATCAAAATAAAAAAAACATACAAAAGGCTACATCACATTCATCTGTGCTAGCATCCTGCGCACCTTGTTCGAATGACAAGATGGTTCTCTTTTGAAAAAAAAAAGACATTTCAACATCTTTCTCTATTAAGTTGAACTTTGAAGATTTATGTTTACAAGTTTATAGAAGCTTCCAAATTAAAGTTTGTGCTCAAAAGGACTCACGATAATATTAAAAGTTGCGCATGAGTTTATAACTTTGATAAATTAGGAAGTTGCATAAACGAAAATTAGAAAAAAGAAAAAGAAAGTGCCGGATGCTGTCAGGAATTGGCCGTTGGCCCGTTGGGTTTGCTCCTGGCGGCCGCACGGTCTAGCAAGCATGACGAATTCACGATGCGGTCACGCGATCATCATGTTAGCCGCCGTGGTCCACGTTTATATATGGACGATGAATCATGACAAGTCGCTCTCGGCTCTCGTGTTGACCCTTCTCACGTGAGTATGTGACAAATGCGCCTTGGCCTCTACTACTTGCGACATTGCGACCCTGGAAGGGCCGGCTACCATCCTACCACGACCACGAGACTGATGTGACAAGCGTGCGGTGCAGCGCGGCTCGGCCATGGCGGCCAAGACTTGGCAGCAGATGGTGGTGGTAGTCATGATCGTTGGAATGGGCGTCGAGTCCTGCGGCGCCGTGGAATTCGCGTACGACGGCTTCGGCGGCTCTGCCGGCCTGCACCTCGATGGCATGGCGACCGTCACGCCGGCCGGGCTGCTGCAGCTCACCAACGACACAAGCATGCCCAAGGCCCACTCCTTCCACCCGGAGCCCGTCACGTTTCGACGGCCGGCGAGCGCCATGTCCTCCTTCTCGACCACGTTCGTGTTCGCGATCGTCTCGGAGTTTCTGGACCTGAGCACGAACGGGTTCGCGTTCCTGGTCGCGCCGTCCAAGGACCTGTCCACGGCGATGCCGAACCAGTACCTGGGCATGTTCAACGGCACCGACAACGGCGACGTGCGAGACCGCGTCTTCGCCGTGGAGCTCGACACCGTGCGCAACCCGGAGTTCGCGGACATTAACAACAACCACGTCGGCGTCGGCGTCAACAGCCTCAACTCCTCCGCGTCCGCGCCGGCGGGATACTATGACGCCGCCACGGGCGCGTTCCGGAACCTGAGCCTCATAAGCCGGGAGCCCATGCAGGTGTGGGTGGACTACGACGCCGCGACCACGGAGATCACGGTGACCATGGCGCCGCCGCCGGCGCCCAGGCCCCAGAGGCCGCTCCTCTCCACGAAGATCGACCTCTCGGCGGTCATCACGGACACGGCGTACGTCGGCTTCTCGTCGGCGTCCAGCATCGTGCTGGTCAGGCACCACGTCCTCGGCTGGAGCATCAGCCTCGGCGGTGACGCACCGGCGCTTGACTACGGCAAGCTGCCGAAGCTGCCTCGCATCGGCCCAAAGCTCCTGTCCAAGGCGCTGACCATCGCGCTGCCGATAGTCACCACAGTATCCGTCCTCGCGGCGGTCGCCGTCGCGTTCTTGCTGCTGCGGCGACGGCTCAGGTACGCCGAGCTGCACGAAGATTGGGAGGCGGAGTTCGGGCCACACCGGTTGGCGTACAAGGACCTGTACGCGGCCACCGGCGGCTTCAAGGACAGCTGCCTGCTCGGCGCAGGAGGCTTCGGAAGGGTGTACAGGGGCGTGCTCCCGGGGTCCGGCACCGAGGTTGCCGTGAAGAAGGTGTCTCACGGATCAAGGCAAGGGACGAAGGAGTTCGTCGCCGAGGTCGTCAGCATCGGCCACCTCCAGCACCGCAACCTTGTGCGCTTGCTGGGCTACTGCCGGCGCAAAGGGGAGCTCTTGCTGGTCTACGATCGCATGCTAAACGGAAGCCTCGATAAGCACATACACGGCCGCGCCGGCAAGCCCGTCGTGGATTGGGCTCAGAGGTTTCACATCATCAGAGGTGTCGCCGCCGGACTCCTCTACATGCACGAGGACTGGAAGCAGGTGGTCATCCACCGGGACATCAAAGCGAGCAACGTGCTCCTCGACGGCGAGATGAATGGGCGGCTGGGTGACTTCGGCCTTGCAAAGTTGTACGACCATGGATCCGACCCACACACCACGCGCGTGGTCGGCACCATGGGGTACCTTGCCCCGGAGGTGGTGCGCAGCGGCAAGGCGACAACTCTCTCCGACGTGTTCGCGTTTGGTGTCTTCCTCCTGGAGGTCGCGTGCGGCCGGAGGCCCATCGAGGAGGATGGCGAGACCAACAACGGCGACTGTTTCGTGCTTGTGGAATGGGTTCGGGGGCACTGGCGCAATGGATCCATCACCGGCGCAGTGGACGCCAGGCTCGACTCCGGGTACGACGCTACGGAGGCGGACCTGGTGCTGCGGCTGGGGTTGGCGTGCCTGCACCCGTCGCCCGCGGCACGGCCGACCATGCGTCAGGTCGCGCATTACCTCGACGGCAGCGCGCACTTGCCGGAGCTGCCAGCGTCGTGAACGTCGTCCTTCAATATGTTCGTTGGCATGGAGAGGCACCAGCAGTTCTTCGACTCGTGGTCAGTCCGGCAATCCTCGGCGGCGATAAGCGTTGCCACCATATCTGACATCGGCCTGTCCGGCGGCAGATGACATGACCACAATTGGGAAGAGATGCGTTTCTCCCGTTGGATCGATCCGATTTAAGATTTAACCACACCACTTTTGCCATAAGTATATCCATATGACGTTTTATCCAAAAAGATAAAAAAACCTTCATCTAACCGAGTGGATCCGAGAACGTTGTCCATGTCCGAAGCAGCCATGGTGACAAAACAATGCAATGTTCAAATTTCAAAGACGGGCAATGGAATCAGATTTTCTTTAGCATCGTCCTGTACATGGGAGCTCCACGAGCGAGGACATGGCGCTCCCAGTCAGACACCACGCCAAACGGGTTATCGATCCGGTGGTCACCATCGCCGTCCGTGACAAGCTGACCCTTGCTGTAGGAGAGGAACTGCTCTTTCATCACGAGCAGAACGGACTCCACGTCTGACTGCAGATAAACCTGCAGCAGAAATCGCAGTATTCGTACTACTATCAGTTTCTCTTCACCAAGAAACAATGCGACGTTGTTCAGCTCAAATTTTTTGGGTCAGTCCTAGACTCGTACTGCCATTACACGGGCCTTAGATTCTACAGTGATGAACACAGAATACCTGTCCATTGGTATGAAGAAGGTCGACGACAGCTTCAACGAGCATTCGTCGCACCATTCTCCACCTATTTTGCTCTTTGTTGAAGTCAGGATTTGGGCACTGAAATGAGATAATCAGCAAACAAGAGAATGCACATATCATGGATATAAAGGCGAGCAATCCAGCTAACAGCAGAACTAAATATAGCTTATAAAAGGTTGAAGTTCTAGGGTGGTGTGTCTGCTGTGTACATTGGGTTAGTGTGGGAAAATGAAGTCATAGAGCCAATGTTTCCATTAAGCATATAAACCAACTTCCCAGGTAACATTCAAGTTTCAAGAGTGTGGCATTGTTTAATCCCGTTCTATATGGAGATCATCATACAAATGTCCTGGAACATATGGACAATGATGATTGGATTTTAAGTGAAACCAACAATACAAAGATGTAGATCAAGATTTTTGCACGAGTTTTCCCTAGTTGCAACGGGAGATCAAGTTATTTCCCTCAAATAGCTAAATTGCTAGAGTCCACTTAACCATGTCTTCTTCTTTTTCACTATGTGACTTATTTGTGCTCTCTTTAATTTATTATAATACATAAATCAGTAGGGTCATAACCCCTCCTGTTTCCTAAGAAAAAAAGCAAATCAACCAAGGAGTATAGGAAACCTGTATTGTGACAAGAGTCAACTGTCCAGGATAACTTGAAACTATGGAACGGAATGTGGACGTTGCATTTGTTGACACAAAATATCTGTCAGAAAATAAACCACAGCATCATTGATGATGAAATAGGAAACTGTGAGCTACCTCAGTTGGTCCAGGGTGTGGATGTATATTCAAACCACCTGGGTTCAAGTCCTCGTCGAGGAGAATTTGGGTCCCTATTTTCTTCTTAATAAAATGCCACCTAGTTCCTCCTAGGTTGGTCTAGTTCTTTTTATTGATGACAAAATACAGAAGGAAACACAATATGTGAAACAAAGGAAAATGATAAACTTTGGGGGGGTATCTGGTTTTTGGAATGTGTAAAAAAATGCAAGACATTGCATCAGATAAATGTTATCTGTAATATATAATATATGTTGGAGCTTTGTTCAAAGCAAAGGGATTTTGTCCTTAAAACAATGCTTAAACTTGTGTATTTTATTGGTGATTTAATTTTCTAGAATGAGATTTCTCAAAAAGGTTTGAAGTTTCATGACAATTGTTGTGGCATATGCGCATTGCACAGAAAGATCCACAGGGTTATTCACGGTCAAAGAAAGCGATCCTGCTCTTTCTCCTGATTAGGATGTGATGCTTTCAGGAGAGAAATTTACATTCCTCCAGATGTACAGTTCCCTCAGAATGTGCCAAACTAATAAGCTACACTAGTAACTAGTGAGGAATGTTTCAATTCAAGATGAACATAAGTACATGAGGCTATTCTGTTATTTTTTTCATCATTTCTTTTATTTTTGTATTTAAAAAACTGTTGCGGGAACTGAGATCACTAGCTTATACAAAGAAAAGGTGAGAAAAATGCAAACACAAGCAAGACTTACAAGTTCCTTTTCTCATCTGAAGCCATACCTTGGAGGCACCTTATAACAAGCTACAGAAAAGGTGAGTTACTGAAAAGGATGAAGACAAGAATGGGATTCCATAGAGATTAAAAGGTAGTTATTACCTTTTCGTTCATCTCAAGCCCAAGGAAATTTGAACTTTCACAGCTTTTAGCCATTTGAAAAAGAAACAAACCATTTCCTGCACTAAGAGTATTTGCATGACAAGAGTGGAGAAAACACTGAAGCAGAGATAGCCTATAATTAAGTAACGTTTGAGAATTTGGTTTGCACTCTGACCAAACATACAGATACCAATCCTATCACAATACACAAGCTATACTTTCTGGTCATTTGCCATGGATTACCTAAGATCAAGACTACAAGTATAAATTTATGAAATCTATACTGGAAACAACAATATAGATGTGTGATCTGTAAATATGAGTTAATTGAAAACTAAACATGTCAATGCTTTCAGCTCAAATTTGCTTTCCTTTTTGTGCTGTTCAATCTTTCACTGATGTCAGTGAGCTAGTACATTATTACTAATAGAAAACAGCCAGCACACCACAATTCCCCATGGAAATATATACCATTCCCCTTCTTTTGAACTCCCTCTGCTCCGTTCCAAATGTAGGTCGTTTTAGTTTTGTCCTAAGTCAATCTTCTCTAACTCGAAGAGTTTATAGGAAAATATATTAACATCTATATCTATACAAGATAAATGCACTATCAATACCTAGTTCATGGTGCATTTAATGAACCTAATTTGATGTTGTAAATATTGGTGCATTTTCCTATAAACTTGGTTACAGTTAGAGAAATTTGACTTAGGACAAAACTGAAACGACCTACATTTTGGAACGGAGGGAATACTCATATATGAAGTAAATCACAATTTTCAAATATTTAAGGAGGCATACCACTTCCAATATCAACCACTAAAGGTAGTGTAGGTTCACAGAAGACAGTGCTCCATGGAATCCGGTAGGGGTAGCACTGCAAAAGTAAAACAATATGAAGAACCAAATATATCTATATAACTGGGACTAAAACGGCACCTCACCATCTACTGAAGATTATTGAAAATTAGAAGTTAAAAAATGTGATCACCGAAATTATACAGTTACAGGTCCACGACTGTGATAGGAACAGAGGATGCCACAGACCTTTGAATCATATTTTAATACAATTATTAGTGTTTCTGGCACTAAGATATGGAGGCATAGCACATAGGATCCTTCAATGTTCAGGACTTTCAGGCTGTATACAAATCAGTATGCCAATAGAAGTCCTTGAGCAATCATTAGAAATCTTTGAGCACAAGATTCAATCATCTATTTTCTTAATTGATCCACAATTCATGCCTGTTAGATAGATATTGGCCATCTATAACACTGATGCAATGTTGAAGGAATTTAATGCCATTAAAGTTATGTAGAACTCTAACTCCTTGGGTTATTTAGGATTGTTTGTGGCCTATGATCGTAGCCTGGAATTTCAAATTTAAGAACTTGGCTAAAGTGGTGATGTCATATGTCAGAATATGCTCGACTTAATCAAATGTGTAAACAGGATCTGCTTTATGCAATTTATACCAGTATATTTATGCCACCTAAACATCCAATGTAGGGTCACATGAAAACAAGATAATTGTATAGGCACACAAATATGTGCTGGCCTGTGAAAAGCATCAAGGCTACACTTTCATCTTCATTTTGTGTGTTTTCCAAAAATGCGAAGGAGAGCTGCACGTCATTGCATTAAGAAGAAGAAAGGGTGTATTACAGGCACACCGAGCCCAAACAACACTTTCACACTTGCTGACTTGCAGATTTTTTTTTTTTTATCAGATGTTTCCGAAGAGACTTTCACACTTGCAGATATACAGTTGCACCATGGACAAGAATAAAAACACAACCTAGTAACCTACTCCCTATGACACCCTCAACCATAAGGACAGACAGCCATCAAAAGTAACACCCTCAACTTCATTATGTTTTGAAGTGGGCTTCATATGTCACACATTGAATAAATACCATGAATGAACTGAAACAATATTTTGCAGATGAAAATTTACTATTATACAAGAAGCACTAGTTATGACCCAATAGAAGTATTGTTCTTGTTCTACCATGACTTACTTTATCCAATGCTGCTATACCAGGCAATATCCTTCCTTTGAGGAATTCCCAAACAACAGTGGCATTTTGAAATTCTGTATATTGAGATGAGGAATCTGTTTTTCTTTTTATTTCCTTGCATGCTGCACTGCCCACTAAAACAACATCACAGCTATCGGTTGCCTTTTCCAGTATTTCACCCAACTGTGTTCCACCAACTGAAAATGTTTCTGTTAAATCGTAGTTTGTAGGGCCAATCCACAGTATCTTCTGTACAAAAATATAAAAAATAAGTTGTCAAGGATCTAAAAGATTATGATTATTTCTCAAACAAACAAGTAGGAGAACTGCATGTTAATTGTATTAATGGGGAAGAAAAATGATCCGATTGCATGCCAATTCCACAGCTTGGATTTTCATAAAAAGAAAGGAAGAAAGAAAGGAGAAATTCAATTGATGGCAGTTCACATGCAGAAATTATCAGATCGATCAAAATGAAGTTTTCAAATTGATCTGGATGTATTTTTTATCTTTAATATTTCCCTTACACCACATCATTCATTACTAATAAAAAAACTTTACAGTTACATGAGAAGCATAAAAAGTATGATATAATTAATGCTTTTAAGTAAAAACTAATTAAGATGGTTGCACGGAACCCAGAAACCAACTGAAGCAATGTTTCCAGTAATACCATTTCTTACCTCATATGATGGAATTATAGAAGAAATTTTCTCCAATGTTGATGGTCCTATATCAACTGGTGTCCAGCCTAAACAAAGTAAGCATGGAGAAATCACAGGTATTAGAATATTTACAACTGTTTGAAGTAATTGATTATCTGCCCCTTCCAACCTCAACTGTTAACACAATCACTACTTGAAGTGTTTTAATAAATAGCTATACGGCAATGTTAAAGGGCGTACCCAGTGCAGAGAGCTCCCGCTCTGTGCGGGGTCTGGGGAAGGGTGTCAATGGCAAGCCTTACCCTCGCCTGTGCAATGCAAGGAGACCGCGACTCGAACCCGGGACCTTCCGGTCACAGGCGGTAAGACTCTACCGCTTGCACCAGGCCCGTGTTAATGCTAGAATTTACAGATAGCGAAAACTCTACAGAAAAAAATTGCAAAATGCAGGTCCCTTTGGCAACTGGTAGTTCAATTTTAAAAAGAAAAAAGGAAAAAAAAGAGAGAGAAAGAGAAAAAGAAAACTGAATTAGGCTCAGCTTCTAGAAGTCGGTATTATAAACAAACATTTCATGGTTTAATTGTTAGCAAAATGTTGCTGCAAACTATCCAATTCAGCATGTTTCTGCATGGTGTAATTTGCCAGCATGCAATAGAGCTCCATTTTTACTAGTGTACTTTGACAGATATTTGCTAAATGGTGAGAAACATGTTTTGCAAACAGGATGTCGTAATCTAAACAAGGGAAGCACAATTTCAGAAATGTTACCAAAAAAAAGTTGCTTGAGAAATATGTGAATGACATGAAAAGTTGCTAGTAATACTCACCAGCCAATTGTCCATTAGAGCTGATTACTCCCAATGTTTTACTGCCATCATTTTTCAAGCACCAGAGATCTGTTGGATAATAAATAGGAACATTCCGATCCCTAGCAACTTGAATAATCTGTAGTACTTCCTTAACTGCATTTCTTTCTATGAATTGAGAGGGCACTGTCATTCCAAGCCCGTTCATTATTTGAAATGATAATTTTCCAACAAAGAACAACCCATCACATAGAGAGGTTAACATCTGAAGAGCGGGTGCTTTTCTCAAGAAGTTACTGCCTCCGATCTGCAATAACCAGAAGAAGTCAGAAATAAAGAATATTGGCAATAGGAAGCGATTACTCGATTTTGGCTCTAAAAGGTACTTCGTAGTGATGTACTGATCCTCTAGTTGCACATGCTTCATATGGAGCACAAGTTGCTAGGACAAGTTTTTTTTTCAAATGTAATTAATCATCTACTATAATCAGTAATCACTTGTTTTCAGGTAAATAAGTCTCCAGCATAACTGAAAGGGACAGCACAGAATATTTAGCTATTATCCACCATGAGCTTAAGATTACAAAAGGATAAAATGTATAATACTATTTCATAGCATCAGTCTTTCTAACCAAAACACAAGAAAAAGAATGTTAGCATATGATCCATGCCATGATGCCTAAAGTTGTATTCACTCACTTAAAGGAAAAACAACACCATTATACACTACTTCTGGCTAATTGGGTACTTCTCAGAGCCTCAGGGAAATTCTGCTCTAATAGGTACATAGCGGGCATCGCACATTAGTAGTACTTGTCTAACTCCAGAGACTTATGATATGTGAAGGATAAGAAAACGAAAATTTGGTTGTTTTTAATAGGTCATTCATCTTTCCCTGGTGGTTCCAGGGCACAGAGGATATTTGAGCATTTCATGGAGGAAGAGAACAGCTCTAATTAGCATGCTTTACATACATTAATAGAACGCTGAAAGTAAAGCTGCAGCCTATTTCATTGAAAAATAATAGACAACTGCTTTTTGATAGCTAAATCTTGCATAACGCCTGTCCGCTACATATACATTGAAAAAATAGGCTAATGATTACAATGGCAATATATGGGCGCCTCGTGGTGTCCGTGATCTTTATCAATTGCATAAGCTCCTCCTCAAAATGGAAACCAGCAAGAGACGCATAGCAGAAGCACGTGATACCAACCGTTGATGCAAGAATCTTATGAGACAATGAGAAAGAATCATTGACAAATATCGTGGCACCTGAAGCTAGCTTCTGAGAAAAATCTTTGCAATTAGCAACTTCTCCTCTGAAGTTCACAAGATTTTCAAACAAAATAATACTGTTCTGAGCCCACTCTTCTTGCTTAAATGATGTTAAACCAGGCTCACCATCTACTGGGATGACTTCTACTTGAAGAAGTGATGACAAGTACTCTGACAAGAACCATAATTTATGATGTGTCAAAAGGAACAACCAGAATTTAAGGCAGATTATTTTCAAGCTACAAACTAAACAAGTAAAGATGTTGTTTCGATTTTGCAGTTTTTTTATAAAATTGATGAAGTTCTTTGTCTTATAAAAATGTTGGGGCAATGGGTACAGAGACTAATATATCACCATCAACAATGGCAAAGGACTGTAACTGTGCAGATTCCCCTAACGGGATATCTGGTATGTAGGAACTCAACATCTCCTTTTTACAAAATTTAATCGTTTTTCTTATCATTTTTCTTCTTTTGGTTAAGAATAAATGAAACCCAACAAAGCAATTTAAGAAAAAACCATGTAATTCCTCGTTCTGCTATACTGACATAATAAACTGAAAAAAAAAAAAACCTTCAATCCACGAAGGGAAATAACAGATGATATGTCAAGAATTCATGTTACATGATAAATAATTGACTAACCTGCAAAAGAGCCAACTGATTCAATCACTGGATTATCAGACTGAAAAATTGTATCCCAGCTGGTGGCTATGACCACTTTCGCTCTTGCTTTGCACAAGTATTTGATAGTTAGCAAAGCTCTTTCAAGTGAGGAAGTGCATGGTCCTAAGTGCCCCAAGATAAGTGAAGAATCAAGACGCACCACAACTACCTCTCCAGAAAGTTTTTCAGTCGGAAAGTCCCTAAGAGATTGTACATGTAGATATGATGTTGACTGATCAAAACAAGAATATTTGTCCTTCTGCAATGATGTAAAAGCAAAATGTTAGCATTCCATGTCAGCAGGAACTGAGGCATAACATTGAAACAACCAGAAACCATAGAAAGGAATTCACTTGTTGAAAAGTATTGCATCATTTTGTTCATAGACCTAAATCCCAAGTATTTATCACTTCTTACATGATAGAAAGTATCATCCTCCATCTCTCCCATGTTTGTTTCAGTGCACAATTCTCTGATATGTTTTGCATGAAAATGGAAGAAAACAGAATGGTCATGGTGATGATAAGGATCAACATCCAGTTCATCAGACCTGCAGCTCATTATTCTTGCTAGTCCCAAAAAAATGTCCTTAGCATCCAGTATTACTTTAATTACGGAGCATATGCTTCTACGATCAATAAGTTGCAATATCACCATAGGACTAAAAGCAAAATTCAAATATGACTACAGCTAGTAATCATATTATGTACTATTTAGTAAATATCCAATTATCCAGTACATTCGAGGATACCTCTTTCTTATTATGGACTGAATTAGTAGAGAGCTGCAGCTGAGAGCACCGTAATCTACATTTCAACCTGGATAGTCCCTGTCCCCCTATACAAGAACAAGTCAACAAAAATTGACGTGATGTTAGAATCTCAATGCAACAACAGAACAAAAAAAAACCCTAAAAAACAGAGCACATCCAGCTCACCCAAAAAGTAGCTACTATTCATGGCGACTGGGAATCCAGCAGGAAGCAGCCATGGCACTAACCAAGGAAACCTTGATGAGCTTAACTGAAAGTTACAAGCCTGCATACAGCCAATTCTGAAATGCCTGGTGATGCTAGCAAGTAGTGGCGGTCCCAGTATAGGAGAGGAGCGTATACATGTACACTGATAATTTTCCCAAAAAAAAACGAAGTTAACAAGCATAATACATTTATGACGTGATTGGGTCAGATCCGGACACAGATAGTTTATATTGGAGTTTGGGTGCACGGTTTCGCACAGCATGAATGGAAGAGAAGGGGCGAGAATACCTGGTGCGAGTTCTCGCCGGCGAAGGGCCCAGTGAAAACCTAGCGAAGGGCTCCGTCGCTCGACCAGCGTCGCCGCAATTGAAGAGGTGAGCTGAATCGAGCGCGAGGCGCGTCGCCCGCAGCGGCCGAGCTAAGGTGAGCTGAATCGAGCGCGAGGCGCGCGTGACGAGCGGAAGCGAAGTGGGATGACCCCCGTCCGCTAGAATTGGAGGGATGGCGACGAGCTGCCGACCCGCGAGGTATATCCCTTTGGGGCGGCCTGACCCAGTGACCCTATCCCTGTGTCTCTCGTGTCCGGTGTCTCGTCCAAACATCTTCAGAACATGTTAGCATCTGGGTGCAGCTGTGTGGCTTGCTGCGGAGTCAGTAATTGTACTCAAGAGCTAGATCATGAAAGCTTTTTCTAATTCTTCCTCACAAACTTCTCAAAGCTAAATTATTATAAAATTATTGTGATGAACTAGCTACGCTATGGTAAAAATTGGGGATAATTTGCAATCGTAACAGAGTTTACAAGGAGGGCGCGGACGAACCGTAGTAACTGAATTGGAATTCTAGAGTATTCTGTTACAAGATTGCCTACCTACGACATCTCCTACAGTGCCTTATATATCCGACGATCACCGGCCTCTGTTGCCAGACCGGCAACAGCTACACCGCCTTTGTCAGCATGGGCCCATTCATCATACTCTGACATTGTCCCCTCCTTGAGAATCAGGTTGTCCTCAACTTGTTGTTGTCTGCGCCTGATCACGTAGTACATCCGCTTCATCTTCCCAAGTGGCCATCTCTTCAGGCATCGAACTCCACTGAACGAGCACTTGCTTGATCATACTGGCGCCTCTCTAGATGACCCTAGTCTGCAGAATCTTTTCTGGTTGCTGAACTTGGAATGGATAAGTACTGACACAAGTTTGGTCTTCAGTAACCGCCACATTCTTTGGAATATGTTTCTTCAGTTGGGAAACATGAATGACCAGGTGAATGCGACTTCCCTCCGGTAGCTCCAGTTTATATGCCAACTTTTCCCACTCACTGTAGCACCTTATATGGACCATAAAACCGAAATGAGAGCTTCTTATTTGATCTTGCTGCCACTGTGGATTGAACATATGGTTGCAGTTTCATATACACCAAATCTCCTTGTTGAAACTCTCATTCCATCTATATTTATCAGCTTGGAACTTCATCCGTTGTTGTGCCCTCTGCAACTGCTGCTGAATGATTCTGTTCAACAGCTCCTTCTCCTTCATCCATTGTTCCAAATCTAGCACTGCACATAGATTCATATTAGAGATACCCCAACAGCTCCCTCTCCTTCATCCATTGTTCCAAATCTAGCACTGCACATAGATTCATATTAGAGATACCCAGTTGTCTTGGACTTTGCCCGTACAAAACTTCAAATGGAGATCTCCCTAGAGCAGAATGATATGTTGTATTGTACCAAAACTCTGCTGCTGACAACCATTTACTCCATTGCCTTGGGCATGAATGCACAGTACATCTCAAAAAGCCTTCTAAACATTGATTAAATCTTTCTGTCTGACCATCAATTTGGGATGGTAGGTCGAGCTCATTAGCAATTGGGTATCAGTCAGCTTGAAGAGTTCTTTCCACAGTGTGCTAATGAAGATAGGATCTCTATCAGAAATAATAGCCTTTGGAAGTCCATGTAGTTTGTAGATATTATCCTGAAACAGCTTAGCAATCTACATGGCTGTATAAGGATGGTGGACAAGAAGGAAGTGGCCATACTTTGAGAATTTGTCCACCACCACTAATATAGCATTGTACCTATCAGATGTAGGTAACCCTTCAATAAAGTCCAGGCTGATCACTTCCTAGGCCTGTGAAGGTATTGGCAAAGGCTGTAATAGTCCTGGTAGCTTAGTGTGCTCCACCTTGGCTTGCTGACAAATGTCACACTGCTTTACAAACTGCTACACAGACTGTTTAAGATGAGGCCTGGTGAAAGGTCCTTGTTTGGTTTTGGTAATTGAGTGACCACCTAGATGGACTAATTGTGTTTAATATGAGATACACATATGATTAGTCCACAGGTACATCATATGTGAGCAACCTATGCCATGACGGTAAAATGGCTTGGATTTGTTGCAAAGCTCACACATGTGATAAAGGAGTCATTGCATATGAGACATGACATTGAGTCATGTGATCAAGGTGGAGAAGATCAAGACAAGACTTAGCTCGACGGACCGGTTGCAAGTGTGAAGGGCAAGTTGAGTGATGACTTGGCGCCGATAGACTGAAGCAACGGAGAAGAGCAAGTGAAGTCAAGATCGATGAACCAATACGGTCACGTGATGATATGAAGTGGATCATATCATTTGGTGATTGGTTGGTGCATGTGTTGCATCAATGATGGAGGAGATGGAATGGAATACGCAAGGCAAAGTTATATTTGTAGGGCATTTCATTTCACCGGTTAAAGGTTGTGTAGAGAAGTGCATGACCGGGTTTAGGATAGATGACCGTACTATTAAGAGGAGCAAACTTATTTGCATATTAGTCATCTAGTGTCACTTGAGCGATCTAACTTTGCATACGTGTTAGGATCGAGCGGCGTGGTAAATTGAGTGACTAATCCTTTAGAAGAATGTTTGTGAAAAGGTAACACACATGCACAAGGTGGTGATCATTTAATGGTGTTAGCACATTTGCAAAGGTGAAGAAGTTGATAAAGAAGAGGAGGCGAAACCGGGCTCGGGCTGCTGCCCTGGGGGCACCGCCCCTATCTGTCTAGTGCACCACCACCCCAGTGGTGGTGACCGGTTGGCCGAGGCTGAGAGCAGCGTGTTGGGGGCTGGCACCGCCGTGCCTTGTCCGATGGCACCGCCACCCCTAGGGCGGTGCCCACCTGAACTTGGCCGAGCACAGCAGGAGCCGGGGTGGTCACCGGAAGTGGCGGTGCACACCGCCATGGTGAGGGCGGTGCACCGCCAGGTGCGGTCCGGTACCACTGCCTCTTTTCGGCAGAGAGCGAGGGAGCAGGGCTGGTCACCGCCATGGTCACGGTAGTGCACCGTACTATTAAGAGGAGCAAACATACACTTTGAACATTTAATGAAAAAGTGATGTTGCTCCAGGATGTGAAATAATTCACTCAACAATTTCACATGCTCTTCCAAGGTTGCACTATAGATGAGAATATCGTCCATAAATACAAGCACACCTCGGCGCAGTAGGGATGCAAAGATTGTATTCATTAAGCTATGAAATGTCGCCGGAGCGTTTGTTAGTCCGAAAGGCATGACCATGAATTCATAAAGACCTTGGTGTGTGCGAAAAGTTGTCTTGTATTGACCCCCAGTGGCCATCCGAATCTGATGATATCCAGCACTGAAATCGAGCTTGGTGAACCACTGTGCCCCACTGATTTCATCAAGTAGCTCATCAACCACCGGCATAGGATGCTTGTGCTTCATTGTTATAGCGTTGAGGAGATGGTAATCAACCCAAAATCACCACGACCCATCCTTCTTGCGGACCAACAAGACAGGAGAAGCAAACTCGCTTGTGCTGGGCCTAACAACACCGGTCTGCATCATTTGTTTGATCTGCTTCTATCTCATTTTTCTGAATCGACGAGTAAGGATATGGTCGGTTCTTGACTGGTTGGGCCTCGGGAATGAGTTGAATCTTATGATCAGCAGCCCGTGGAGGTGGTAGCTGAGTTGGTGTACTGAATAGATGCTCATATTGGTGCAGAAGCTCCTGAATGGGTTCAGGCAACAGTACTGGTTCTGCTGGCTGAATAGCGCATGTAGTCTGACACTCGTCCGATAATATAGGAATGTTAGTGTCCTGGCTCAGCTGAAGACAGCATGTGACTCCTCCATTTTGGATCAAGTTGAGTAGCTTCTTGGGACCAATAGAAGTACAAGTATCAGTCTTATCTTGAATGCCATATAATTCAACCCTCTTCCCTTTGAGAGTGATTCTTATAGCTTTGGTTTTGTAGTTCACCCAGATAGGACTCACTACTTCCAACCAATCCTCGCCGAGAATCATATCATAGCAGCGAAAGTTAAGCACTCTTGCATCAGATTTGAACTTATGGCCTTGCACACACCACTACAATGTAGTCACTTGCTCTGAACTTGGTAGTTGTCCTCCATCTGCTGCTTTGAACGTTATTGACTGACAGGGTTCAGTTTGTAGTCCCAATGCTTGAACTAGCTTATCACTCACAAATGTTCCGATGTTGCCCGAGTCCACTAACACCAGCACTTGATGCTTCCCAATTCGAGCTAACAACTTTAGAGTGTGTGTTTGGACTCCTTTGATCGCCTCGATGACCGTAATGCAAGTAATTGAATCTTCCCGCTGTAATTTCAGATTGCACCTCAATCGACTCATCGCCCTATGATCCAAAGCATCCCATAATTCCTCCAAGACATGCAACGGAATTTGCTGCGTACAATTATGATTGGTGGTCCACTTTCCCCCACATTTGAAGCAGAGACCGTTCTTGCGCCTATACTGTTTGAGCGATGTCAGCTTATCATCGGCCTCCGATTTCTGATTCTTGGCTTCCAATTTATCTCCGCACCTGCACCAACCTTCTCAGTCGTTGCTCTGGCCAACCCTTTGGTGAAGCCCCGCCCAAAGGGTTTATGCTTGGCAGCGCTCAGTTCTTCTTCTTGCAACAATGCCAAAGCACTCACGGTCTCAACATCACGTGGCCTGTGCAGAGCTATGGGCGCTCTGATTTCTTCCTTGAGTCCTGCCAGAAACCGCTTGACAAAGTAGACATAATCATAAGCAGGGTTATAGAGAAGAATTTCATGGGCCAGCTTCTCGAATTGGGCCTGATAATCTGCCACGGAGCCACTCTGTGTCAAGGTCTCCAACTGCCTCAACTGTTTCGGTATTGATCCTTGTCATACTTCGCAAACACCAACTCACAAAGATGATCCCAATCCGTGATTCTCTCGTGGCGCTCAATGGTCTGCAGCCAAGTTGCTGCGGCTCTTTGGAAATTGAGGGCAGCAAACCTCGTCCACATCATCGGATGAACACCGTACACCTCAAAAAATAGGACGCAATGATCATGCCAGAGCCGAGGATTGTTACCATCAAATTTGGGAACAGGTGGAGAGCGTGGCAACTGAAGATGCTCCAATTCAGTGGCAGGAAAACATGAGGGATATGGTCATGGGGCATACCTGTGACCGGGTGTGGCGGCAGAGCGCTCGGGGCTCCACCGCCAACAACCCGGTGATCATGTCACTGGTCGAGCCCGTTGGGCGATTGAGAGCTCGAAGCCGAAGCCAGTGCCGCGTTCAGGTCAAACCACCCATGCGGATGGTGAGGACGAGGCCCCGTCAATGGGTTCGGCATCATGGGGTTCGGCATCGGCGGTGGAGGAGGATGCGTCAGCGTGATCGGAGGAGGGTGCGGAAGCGGCCCCGGTAGTAGAGAGGGTGGAGGTGGAGGCGGAGGCGGAGGTCGCGCCTCTAGTTACTGAACCCGCATCATCGTCTCCTTTGATTGCTGCATCATGGATCCCATGGACGTCTCTGCGATCGAACGCCACGCCTCCAGATCATTCAGCTTGTCGAGAGTCATCGTCATCATCTTCTCAAACTGCTTCGCCAAGTCTTGGACACCGGCGAGCTGCTGCGCCATCATGTCCATGGTGGTCTTGAGGTCGTCGATCGATGTCGCCATCTCGGTCTGAAACTTGGTGAGCTTCTTCGGCACCAGAATGGAATGGATCGAATCGAGAGAAAAAAAATCCCCTCGAATCGACCTGGCTCGCGATACCAAATGTGATGAACTAGCTACATATGGTGGAAAATGGGGATAATTTGCAATCATAAAAGAGTTTACAGGGAGGGTGCGGACGAACCGCAGCAACTGAATTGGAATTCTACAGTATTCTTTACAAGATTGCCTACCTACGACATCTCCTACAACGTCTTATATATATCCGACGCTCACCGACCTCTATTGCCAGACCGGCAACAGCTACACCGCCTCTGTCAGCACGGGCCCAGTCGTCATACCCTGACAATTATCATTTGCTAAACATTTTTCAAACGGCCTCAGCTAAATTTTTTCCATAATAAAATAATAAAAGGAACCAAAGTTGTGTGGGGCACTCAACTATGGCCGTTCTCGCCCAATGTGGCACGCCATACAATTCACCATTTCACCGATGTGGCGCATGGTGCACTTTCACCACCGATGGTTGTGCTCGATGACCGGTCATAACTATGCACGTTGCCCACTAGTGGCCGCTCAACTGTGACCACGCTCACATCAACATTTATGTCATCAAGTTAGTTTCATTAAGTTTTCGTTGAAATATATTTGATAGTGCATCTATATCTATATCTATATATATATATCTATAAAGAGGCAAAATTTCTCTCCACCTAGAATTTGGTCCGAGCCCATTCTATTGGCCAACGACCTAATCCAACTGTGGTCACATGCTGAATTGAATCAGCCCACGCAGCATCCCCTCTCTCCTGCACGGCCTCATGGCGCAGCGCGTCCGGTCTCTCCCTCCCCCACTCCATCTCTCCGACAGGGCGCGCTGCGCCCCGTCTTTCCCTCCCCCAGTGTCAGAGTTTGGGGTAGAGGATGAGAAAAAGAATTTGAAGATAAGGAAGGGTTTTAGGTGAAAAAAGTGCAAGAGGGATAGAAAAGGTGGGACGATCTAAATTGAATTCGGGATTCCAGATGTAAGAGTTCAGTCCACGTTGGGCCTCATGCTGATGGGCTGGACCAAAGATAGGGGCGTCGGACCATTAGCGTCGGACTGTCTGATGCTGTATTTTCAGCACAGACACCCTTCCGTATTTTTGGCGTAACTCTTTGCTCTGAACTCAGATTTTGGTGATCTTGGACTTTTCGGAAAGCTAATAAAATGCTCTACAGCTTTGAGCTAGTGTTATGTCAATTTGATCATATCCAAAATTACGAGATAATTTCAATTCATTCACCTCTTTGTCTTGGCTTTGAGTGGATTCAACTTTGTTTGTCTATTTGTGTCCGTGCTTCCACTTCTTTGTGTCTTTGACTTCTAGCATGTCTTGCAGGTCTTAAAAAGGCTTCTAATGTCTTGCTTGAGGTGTTAATCATCCGAATCACCTCGTTACCTAAGTCAAAGCCCACCTTGCATCCATTTGAACTATACCTTGTATACTAGCAAACAACATTGGTCCAAATGGTCATGTTGTTCATCAAACACCAAAATCCAAACTAAATGGCCTAGGGTCCATTTTCTTTATAATCTCCCCATTTTTGGTGATTGATGACAACACGACCAAAGCAAATAAATAATAAAAAAATTGGAATTTAAAAACTATTTACTTGCTAGGATGCAATGCAAAGGCTAGATTATATGATGCTAAAAGATAACACTTGTATGGATCTTTGTAAACTTATCTTGCCCTTACAATTTATCCCTAAGTGGAATTATGGACTTAAGCCTCTCCCTAACTTCATAATCCACTATCCTCTCTTTCTCGGACTATTACCACTTGTATTTTGTTATGGTTGGGCTTGCTTTTGGTTCTACAATTTCTCTCCCTTTAGAATCAAACATCGAAAATGAAGACATTACTAGCACAAGGGAGGGTCAAATTTTGTGATCCTTTATATGTGGAGTGGAATAGATCATAAAACTTGACTCTCACATTACATAGAATAAGCTCCCCCTAAATATACGCATACATATGGTGGAGAGTGAAGTATATGCATAATTGGTAAAATAATGCACAAGAAAGTTTAATCTATATAATGTATGAAGAAAGCATATAAATACCAAAGTGAAATCAATATAATGATATCGGTTTAGGAATACCACATGTAGAGACCACTTGGATCATCACCACTTGTAATGATATTACTTGTAAATGGTGGTGGATTTTAGAGCATGATGCTTATCTTCGGGGACTCTATTTTCTTTGCAATGAGATTACTACACACATGATAAACTTAAAATAGTGTCAGTCTCAAAGTATCCAACTTGTAGAGTAATCTCCCCCTAAATTTGTGCATACAAGCATGGAATACTTGTAGGAGACATGCACATTGATTTTTAGAATAAAAATACCACTTGAAAGATGACATATTATGAAAGTGAGAATCATTTTCAAAATTAATATTTAGGGGAAATTATCTACAAATTAGACTTTGGCACATATTAAGTAAACAATTGTAAAACAAGCTATGCGGCGTGCTCCTAAACAATTCAAATCATGTAGGTTTGCTCCAAGGGTTAAGAGTGAAACCGAGCAAGCCTATCATATGAAATACCTAGTGTATGCATGACAAAAGATTAAACATACAAATGCAAACCTAGGCATGAAAAGGAACTAGATGCTAATTGAAATTACAAAAAATTAAATCTAGTTACCTAACATACGAAGAAAAATTTGGGTCCATAATTTACACTAACCCACTTGGCAATTACCTTGTCCATCATGATGCACCCTATGAAATACACCCAAACTATGCCAAGTCTCCAAATACACCCCATGAAATACACCCAAAGCTAATGAAAAGCTCTACAACTTTGAGCTAGTGTTATGTCAATTTGATCAGATTCAAAATCACGAGACAATTCCAATTCATTCACCTCTTTGTCTCGGCTTGAGTGCCTTCAACTTTGTTTGTCTATTTGTGTTCGCGCTTCTGCTTCTTGGTGTCTTTGACTTCTAGCGTGTCTTGCAGGTCTTCAAAAAGGCTTCTAATGTCTTGCCTGAGGTGTTGATCATCCGGATCACCTTGTTGCCTAAGTCAAAGCCCACCTTGCATCTATTTGAACTATACCTGTATACTATCAAACAACATTAGTCCAAATGGTCATGTTGTTCATCAAACACCAAAATCCAAACTAAATGTGCCTAGGGTCATTTTTCCTTACATGTGTTCGCACACTAAACAAAATTGGATCTTTTGATATAAACAATCATTTCTTTTACACCTAAATCTTGAATCGAATAAAAATTAATATATGTTTTTTATTAACCCCGTTGTAACGCACGGGTAATTTTACTAGTTCATTATAAACTGAAGATGAAATGAACTACTAGAGTTTGATTTAGGTCAAAGTCAAAATAAATTATAATTTGGAACCAAAAAAGATTACCATATCTCAAACTACCTTATTTGTTATCTTATTTTCAAATGGTGCTAGAGAGAAAATATGCACAGATGATAATGTCTACAAAGTTATCGCCGGCAGTTTTCATCAAATTTTAATGTCTATAAAGTTGTCAAAATGTTTCATTTCTATACAGATTATGTATAATTGCCCACATAATATACTTTTCTATGTGATTTCAGAGTATGGTTGATTCGATTCTTTGATAAATCATATCTTCTATATGTTTCTCTGAATGGTTGATTCAATTTTTTATTTTGATAACATCATTTGAATATACCATCCCATTATGTATGGTTACAGTTGTAGGCATATAAAGCTATATAATATCGAAAATGCTATACAACACATATGTGTTTTAGCATAAAAAAATACATGGATTTTTTTCTCTCTCCCTCTCTTTTGCGACCTGGTTGGGGCCCAACCTTCCAGCAGACGATACCTGCCATCGTCGGATCCATCCTGTGCCCGATCTTCCCGGGTCCTGGTCCAACTGGGGGTGCCACACGCAAGCAAGGCCCACTGCTGAGGGAGGCGCAACGTCGACTGCATTTGTCACGCCGGTTTCGCTTGTCCTCTTGTCCTTCCATAGAAAAAAATTATTTCTTGTGATATGTGGATCTGTGATTGATTTGTGATTGTCTGGAGGTAGAAGAAGGATGGATGTAGAAGAAGGATAGAGGTTGTTGGATCTTAATTCTATGGTGTAAAAAAATCATGTATTGAAACTGCATAAAACACATAGTTGTTGGATAGACGCTACGTAGTAGATAGATGGGCTGGTTCATTCCTTTGATAGTTTGATGATCTTTTGCAGAACCTAGTTGGCAACTTGAAATGGGTGACGGTGACCCGATTCACGTTTACATCGGTAACACAGGTACAACAGAGCACTTCGGCCAAAGGTTATTGGTGTACTGTACTGTACTGTACTGTACTAGGTAGACATCACCTCTCAAGCCTGCACAACAATAATGTCCCACCGTACACGCATACATACACGCTTCGATCAAGCCAGTTTACGTGACACAGTACACGCTGACGCTACGATACAAGGCCTACATCGCACACGTATTCTGAGGCCACCTCGATCAGATCCTGTCCGCGAGCTTCGGGTCAGTGGCTGCCTCCGCTCCGCACCTGCGCTTGAGCTCGTCGACGAACTCGTCGAAGCTGCGCCGCGACGAGCCACCGGGCGCCACGGCAGCCTCGAGTGTGCCCCTCAGCTTCTTCACCTGCTCCCTGAGCTTGGCGCCGTCTTCCCCGCCCATCACCCCTTCAATCCGCGCCTTCACCTCGTCGGCGCGCACCGCGCCGCGGTCCCCGATGGACACGCCGGCGCGCCACTCCCGCACGACGAGGCGCCTGTTGGTGAGCTGGTCCGTGAGCAGCGGGAAGCACAGCATGGGCACGCCCGCCCACGCGCTCTCCAGGATGGAGTTCCAGCCGTAGTGCGTGAGGAAGCTGCCGACGGCTGCGTGGGAGAGCACCTCCACCTGGCAGCACCACTGGACGACGAGCCCTCGCCCCGCTGCGGCGTCGGCGAACC